CAGATGAACTGTCACTTTGAAAGTATAGAAAAATTCATCAAGTTTCTTCAAATTCACCTGGTCACCGGCAAACCGCCAATAGTTGGTATAGCATAGGTGGACTTGGGCTGATTCGATCCGCTTTGTGAGGTGTTCACCGATAGAGTGGGGGCAACGGAAGCGGTAGATGAAGCAGGATAATGATGTGGCTGAGAAGGGAAACGAGGAGGTGGTTGCGCAATAACGCGGATAGGTTGCTTTGTCATCTAAAAAATGGAAGTTAAAGGACTCAATCTGAAAGACAATGAAAGTTTCAAGTATCTCGAAAGTAGTTAATTATTCCCAAATTTGATTTTACATCAATTACCTACAATAATTAATCTTTCGCTTGGGCATACGAAGGTTTTCGCATTGGTTTTTTAATGACTGATAATATAACTGGTTAAAAACATCATTTTGCAATGAGCAAAAGTAGGAGGTTGAAGGCAGAATAGCTTCGGTGAGTAGATTTAGCATAAGATTATGCAGAATTATGCAAACAACAATAATAACGGCCAAATTAAACTAGAGCGATGACATATGTATCTCAGAAAGCTATGAATCAATAAAGAACCCTACTTTTTCGGCGACAAAAGATGGGAAAGAAGATAGATCGCGAGGAAAACTGCTGGCGTACACGGATGCTGGTGCGCGAAGCCAATCCACTCATAAAACAAAGTCCAAGAAAGATAGAATTAAGCATGCATCCAGAAAAAAAAAGACTCTAGAGCGTGGAACCACTTTGAAGTAGCTTACTAATATGATTTTTGCACAATAAGAATGCTTGACGAAATCTCTGAATGAGAAAGAGTAAGCAAAAAGAACACGACAGAAAGGGAGAGGTGCATTTTTGATCATATATCATTGATCATTTTTTGAAGGTGAGAGATCCCTGCCATTTTTTGAGAAATTATACGTTCCCACCAATTTCTCCAGATATATGCTGAAAAGAAGGCGAAGTTCGGACAATGTCACAGTAGCTATTCTCAAAGTTCCTCAGTAACTGATCAAGACATACTTTTCCTTGTTGAGCACACATTGACTATATTCTTGTTCTCAACAATAAAACAAAAGTTTTTGCCAAAAAAATACAGAAAAAGTGGTAGCTTGATATAGGAACATGAAAACAGTGACGAAATTCAGAGGAGCCTAGAGCCTACCGTAGAGCTACCACAAAAGCTAAGCCAAGTTTGCGGAGTTTATAAAACATAATATGTCAAGATTATTAGATTACTAAATTAGCTTTGCGTCGCACGTTCAAAAGGAGCATCATGGATGGAGATCCAAGACTAATTCCTCCGCAAGAACACGAAGACCATTGGCCTGATGTTCACTTTCACCGGTGTAAAGGTCGGATATCAAATTCGAGACCACACAGCTGTTATAGCAACTATTTCGCTCTTCGACACTTTCATCGCATCGTATATCCCAAGTGATTTACTACAAACACATTCAGACCTTGTTAAAGAGAGAGAAACTAAACGAAATCTAACATTCGAATCCAGATAAATGGTCCTTCATAGTGATTATGTCAGTGTTACAAAACATTGGCGATAAATGCTAAGAATCTTAGGTTATGACAAATGGCA